GTTCAACTCACATCTCCATCTTTAGTCAGTTTCCTGCCACATCGCATACTGCTCAGCTCGAACTCCTCTTTGTTAGCTTCATGGGGACTAATGACAGACAGGTGCATTCATCATCCCAACAGCATTAAAATCATATTCTATGGATACAGTACTTGTGGTCATATGAAACAGTCCTCTGACATTACAATTATTCAGTCACAGGTTCTCACCCATTATCGTTGTCAAATTCTGTCCGGAGCATAGCGAACCACTGGTTTTTGTACACCGACGTTAACCAATCTGGAATATGTTAGAATAAAAAGCAGTGCATAAACATTTATCATTCCAAGAGATGTAAACATTAAGATGAACAATGGTAATACTGCTTTACAATTCATCTTTAAGTTTTTCTTATAGTTTGGTGACATATGCTCACTCTGTTTCTCCCTTTGATTCTCTCTCTCCACCACTCAAACTCTCCCTTTCTCTCCCAGTCTTTAAAATCTAAGCAAGTCTGTTTAGTTCTTTATACCAATGACAATGAAATGAGACAACTTAAACAACTGAATTAGACACAAAGATGGAAATAAAATATTGGTCTACATAACTGGACTTACTTGTCCAAGTAACGTGAAAGCCCTTGAAAACTTTGATACTAGATAGTGAAATTAAATATTTATTTTTTTCCAGAGCATAATTAGAATCACATTCATGTCAGACAGAACCATATCTTACCAGGGGGCAAAATATTGTCCCTCTCCAGGATACGTGCAGATGCCAGATCGTTGATGATGTATTGGAGACGAACGTATTTAAACACTGAACAAAAAGGTGCGCCCTCTTCTGTGTCTAAGAAGGGCTCTTTCTCACACAGGTCTGTAGAACAGAATCAATTGGAAACAGAGTCAAACACCTTTGTGTTGCTACCAACAAAAAAAGATTTCACATGAAGATAACTGTTTAATAAGTATCCAAGGAAGGTTAAAATCAAGGGCATTGTTGTTAAAATTGTTAAAATCAAGGGCATGTTTAATAAGATGTGGCTTAACAGTACCTGTCCTGCGTTTGCAAAGCCAGGCATCAGCGTCAGGCAGAAGCTGCTTGATTGGTCCATCCCACGACGGGTTGAGCTGCAGAAACATCCACTAAAGAGAGAAAAATTACAAAGAGAGCTCTTAGAAACAGGTCTGATGGTATGAGTGAGTGTGTCTGAGAGTTATAAAGTACATAATTTTTCCATGTACCTTTTTCAGAGCAGTGTACACATCCATCTCCACCTGCATGACAAACAGATCCGAGGACTGGATGAGCTGGTCCATCACCTCTGCTCTGTAAATGCAGTACAGAAACAAATTGTGAGTTTGGTCATAGACAATATTTTTTACACCGTGATTTGAAACATAATTACTCAACACGACCATTTCATTTTCTTTAAGTCACAGCAGATAAACTAACTGAGACAACTTTAATATAGCAGCACATTGCGATCTTGAGGTTCATGTTAATATAAAATTAGAAAAGTTAAAATGATACTTTAACAAAGGATGTAGGCAAAACAACACAACTAAGTAATTGTGAACCGAGCATATATACCCGAGTTCTTTCATCAGGTCGACATTTTGGTGGGTCATCAGGTTGTTTAGAAGCCATTCAAGACACCTGCAGAAAGAGATGCACAAACACAGTGTGAAGTACACAGAATTAAAGACTGATTAACCCATAAATCTTAAATAATTAAAATTAATTCAAATCTGACTTTTTCATGACTGAATCCAAGCCATAGATACTGGCACAAGCATAGTAGCCACACACAGTTTTCGCACTTATGTTTTCCTTCATGGTCTCTCCACACTGCTGGATCAAGCCATCCTGCAGACAACAACAAACCACGAGACTTGATTAGGTGTTATATCATATGACTGCATAAACAAAAACCAAGATGGTAATTTTACATTTCAGCCAACAGCTGACTTCATTCAGCGTACTGACCAGCTGTAGCATACAAGCAGCGGCAAGAATACTGACGACTCTGCTGGGCTTGATCAGAACATCATCCCGGTACAGAGATCCAAATACGACTTGTAGAGCTACACACACACAAAACAGTATAGTCCAGTCAGCCCACCACATAAACAAACACAGTCAACTGCTTATTTCTGTGACTGAGGTCCTCTCACCTTCAGTGTCTATGTTTTGGTCTGGGATCTCCAAGTTGATTTCCATCATGTTGGACTCCTTCCAAGAGCCACTGAACATGCTGGAGAAATACCCTGACTGCAAAATGCAAGAAGGAAGAGAAAAGAGAAGGAGAAAGAGTATTAAGTGATAGACAATGATAACCCACATAAAAAAAAGAATTTATCAGTGGCTGTCTTTGTGTAAATGTTTTACCTGACACAGGTACACTTTGTGGAGGTTCCACTCCTGTCCCAGGGCGGAGATGCGAATGTCACTGTTTTCCCCATTCAGGAACAAAGTCTGATAAATGTATCGCGATGTGCTTTTCAATTTTTTCCTACTCAAGTTTGGGAAACACAAACAAAACAAAAAACAAGAGACAAAAACAATTGTTAGACAAAAATTTTTTTATTATTATTTTTTTTAAACTTGACTTGCCTGCGAGGTGTATCTAGTAGAGCATCGTCCTCCTCTTGTTCACTGTCACAGTCACACTGGGCATTTCGTTTCCTCTTCTTACACTCACAACCATGCTTGCGGCTGGTACTTGTGCCCTCTGCAGCCTCCTCTGGTCCCTGAGAGGGGGACTGGAACCTGCTGCCCAGACTTCCCATCTCAAGCTTTCAAAGAAGCATCACAAAAACAAAACAATTGCCAAAAACAACAGGTCATCTGTACTGTATTGCAAAAGAGTTGCATAGACCTATAATATCAAAATCATGAGAGCAAACCCTGTTAGGGTAATGGACGGGAGGGACATTTGCTTTTGCTACTTTTCCTTAGGGCTTCAACCAACAATTTCATTCTTAATTAATCTGTTGATTCATTTTTTTGATTATTTCATAGGTGGTCTTCAAATTGCTTGTTTATTTAATTTAACGTTAACAAAATATATGAAAGAAAAAGCAGCAAGTTATTGATGAATAAAGCAAATGACATTAGAACAAATGTGTTAGTTAATATGGGGCTGTTATTATGTGTATATCTAACTGAAAGAAAGGTACTAAATTATCCCAAAAGGCCTAGAGCTTTGCATGGAATTGTATTTTTGAGTGTGAGTGCATAACAAGACAACTTCTTCATAACTTAATCCTACTTCAGCATATGCAAACCAGACGTACAGTCTGTTTAACAACAAACAACGACTGAACTACCTTACCTGATGATTAGCACCGTGAGGGAGAGGTGTCGGTTAATTTGGACGGTAAACACCGGCTGATTATCTCAGGTCAGACACTTTGTCAGACGTAGACAGTTGAAGAGGAGCTAACCTTAGAGCTAGCTTAGCTGCCGAATTCACAAAAGAAAACAATAACAGCGTTGCTTCTGACAAGCTGCTTCTCCACACAAGCCTCCAGGCCGAAAAAACTTATTTTGTTTCAGTTACATTTTTCTAAATTAAAGCAAACGTAAACTCAGAGGTAGGAGATGATGTGGAACTACCAACTGAAAATCTGCGGCTGCTTTTGTTGTTCTTCTTCTCTCGCTGGTTAGGCGCAGCGTTTCTACGTCACAGGTGGTTGTGCTGCTCAACAGCGCCACCTACCGTGAGGCGGACTTATTACACAAGCCTGGAAAACCAGTCGAATCTATCACAAATCTTTGTTTACATTATATGTCTAATTTGTTTTATTTAATAATTCCTTCATATTGCATCCAAACCTTAGATTATCCATAAGCCTTTATAACAGTTATTAACTGTCCCATGAAATAAAAACAACTTGACGACTGTACTGAAACTGGATGACCTGTCCTACATTCGGCCTTGGCTGAACCATAGGCCCCTGACCAGTCATTCTGGTTTCCTTTAAGTCCAAAGGACACTGCCAAATCAACAATGTTTAGTCTTTTATGCATCTGCCTAATGCAGACTGTAATTAAGACTGCACTTGAAACTTTTGAGAGGAAAATTATATTTTAATAATTTATGTACAGAAAAACTGTCCAAAACTGTGTATATAGGCTATTAAAGGGCCTTAATCTTGGTTTTTATAGATTGATTTGATGGGTTTACTTTAAAATGTGTTTAAGTCCATACAGAAAGCAGAAAGGGTGGAGCACAAAAGATAACAGCCAAGCATGCTCAATATCATGTTAAAAAAGTGTCAACTTGTGCTTTCTGTTGACTGAATTCAGAAGGAAAAAGCAATAAAAACAGCTTTAATTGTATTAATCATTACACATATAGCCTAATACTAATATAGTACATTTAAAAAAAAAACTCTCTATTTTCCCCTATAATTATTTGGTAGTACAAAACTACACAGTCTTTCATATTTACTACTAAAACACTCCTGAAACAACATTCTCCCTTGTGATGTTGAAAGGTTTTATGTACACTTGGGTTGTATAAGACATTGTCAATGGCTCCAAGGCAACCAGTCCACAAAGTCGTTCTTGTTTTGTCAATTTTAACCACTTCACTCACCCTTTCCCACTCACATCTGAATACCTCACTGAGTGCAGGCTAAGCTGTAACCTCTGAGCTGAGCTGAGTGTTCAGTCAACAACCATCTGCAAGGGTCAAAACATATCATCAGTTTCTATACAGACAGTTGAGATTCAACAGAGGTGGTCACCTTTCAATTCCTTGAGTAGTTAAAACTTTACTCCTCCTGCCACTGTGAAAGATGGGATATGTTAACCTGGAAAAGATCCTGCACTGTTATTCACCTTTTAAAATTCAATAATGACAAGATTGCCCTTAATTCTGCTCTCTCTTTTAACTGCAGAGTAAATAGCATTTAACATCAAAAACATGGCATGTAATATGAGAGTAAATACCTGACAGCATTATCTTTACTTCAAAGCCTCCCGGTCAAAGAACAAAATACTGAGATGACAGACATCAGTATTCAACACATGACTGCCCTCCAGTGGTATCCTGTGTTCTGTTAATATGCAGTCAGAGGTTATATACTTTGGCTTGCTTTTGTGTGCCACTTGTGATTCTTGTCAAGTTTCATGATTAAATATTACCACAAATTAACTAACTCGACCTGTTTTAGTTTCCATGGTAGTGGTATTGTTGTTCCACAGGGGCGTATTATGTGGTGTAAAGTTATGCTTGTATACTAGATTCCAATACAGGAGAACTTGTTGGTAGAAATCAGACAGTTTCACAGGCAGCTTGCATAAATCATAGTCACATCGCAATAAGAAATTGATTCCTCCCATTTTGTTAAAGATTGCATCAGGGATAGTATAACAGATGGAATCACCATTTTAATTTCAGGACCCTGTTCATAACAGAGATGTCTATGCCATTCAGACCACCTTCCTCGACACTCTTAATCACGTCAGCTCTCCTAATGTAGTGACATAGTAGTAGATAACTCTTGATAAGCTTTCCATCATAGTTAATAATACCCTTCCAAATAGAGCTGTGTCTCTTTGTAGCCAAGAATTCAAAATAGTTTTACATTATTTAATAGTTTTTGAAATGTTTTCTTTCTCTCTTATTTCTTTGGACCTGGTGACAGTTATGCCCAAGTATTTGACTTCAGTTTTCACCTTGATATTACAAAATGTCTGGGCTGGTTGATCGTGTAATGCCAATATTTCTCATTTGTCAAAATTAAGTTTCACGCCTACTGCTCTAGGCTATTCTAGTCCTTTGGATATTTGTCTTTCATTTTTCAAAAATAACGTAGTGTCATCCACGAATTGACTTATAATATTCTTTCCAAAATTGTTTAAACCTTCTGTTCCATTGGTTTTAATTAAAATGGAAAGTAATTCGGCGACCATTATAAAGAGTATAGGGGAGCTGTTACAACCTTGTCTAATGCCCCTACTGACTGGGAATCTTGAGCAAGTACCATGTTCTAACGCTACACAACTGTTTATGTCATTATATAACATACTAATAAGGCTGATGAATTTTTGACCAAAACCAAAATTATTCAGAGTTTCTATTATGAAAGGGTGTTCCACTGAATCAAAAGCCTTATAGAAGTCTAGAAAAACAATGAAACCCTTCTCCGGGAAAGTGTGACTGTAAGTATTTGGGCTTCTTCCTTAACAAACGCCACCGTGAGGAATCCATTGGCTTCAGGATATGACGTATGGGGTGTTCCCATAGTGGGCGTGTTCAACGGAGGAATCAGCCAATAAACGACGAGCACCTCTTTCGCAACATTCCAATCCCCCCAAACATCCTCCTCCTCTCCCTGCCTCGACTAGCCTGCATGTGTGGGACAGTGACACGTAACTTTGTCCGTTTCACTGACGTGACCAGGCAGGACACCTCCACCTGGGGCAGGGAGAGCAGAGAGAGGACTTTTCTGAACCCTGTCCCCAACCAAAATCCGTTTTATTTTCAACATTTTGTAGCATGGAGGCGAGAGGCGCAACTGCAGGTGAGGTTATTGTTAGCTGTGACAGTCAGTGTGGCGGTGTGTTGTTGTTTAGCCAATATAAAAGCCACTTACGCAAACATGGAACAAAGGATACGCTGTTAACTAAACAAAACCCGTGTTTCGTGTATACATAAGAGATGAATGTTTTGTAAATAAAGCACATTAAGTTCGTCGACATCGTGTTTAGTACAATATCTTGCTCTTAGTCATAAAAAAAACATACTACCTTGTATCACGTGTCTGGTCTATGGTTTATCCTTTAGGTGCTCTTGTGAGCAGTGATGGAGAGGAAGAAACTGCGAAGACGACTGCAGCTCCAACAAAAGATCAACCACAGACCAAAAGCAAGATGGAGAAAATCTTTGGGTTTAGGAAGGAGGACCTGGCCTCCTGGAGTAGCCTGGTGGCCCTCCTGAACCGTCCCACTGACCCTGCATCTCTAGGCATCTTCCGCTGCTTGTTTGGTAGTTAAGATGCCATTTGCTCAGACTGCCTGCTGGGTTTAAATTGTTTTGAAATTGCTCCCATTCCCATTCACCTTTTGTGCTGCAAATCTGTGTGCCCTGCCAACTTCATTGTGTGTCTGTCCTGTAGGTTTGCTGATGGCTATCGACGTCACACAGGAACGTGGCCTCAGTCACCTGGACTACAAATACCTGGATGGTGCCCCTGTGTGCCGCTTTCCCCTCTTCAATTTCTTACAACCACTGCCACTGGATTGGATGTATCTGGTGTATGTGGTGATGTTCCTCGGTGGGTCACACTCATTTTTCCAATGTTAGAAGCTTATGTCCAAAAAATTACATGTTGCAAGGCTCACACCTCAGTGTTTACTGAGGCTTGGGAAGGAAAAGCCCATCCCCCTTTTGAGTCTAGATGCAGTTATTTTATAGGAGCCACTCTCTGTGGGGTGGCTGTCTGTAGTGAAGATGAAAGCACATATTCCAGACCTTTATTTTCCCCCATTTATTGTCCCCCATTCACTGTAGCTTAAGCAAGACTGCAAACAGAAAGCAGAACACAATGACAAAGTAAATGAATACTGATTAAAAAAAATCATTAGGGCTACAAACCTTGTACTTTACTAAGTTGACACACCAGCCTTGGTACATATCCATGTTCTACTCTTTGCAACACTTCCAGTTTTAGACAACATGTGTTTCCCCTAAACATAAACATATATTTCAGACCATAGAGGAATTTAACTTAATGTCTTCGGTCGATGTTTCACATCTCTGACATTTTCAGCATTAAAAACATCTATTAAAACATTATAGATACTGTAATAGAGTTTGTTTTGAATGCACGTATGTACTCCATTTATATATGACATGTGTCGCATACAACTTTTAACTGGGATTGTTTACATACAACAACATACATTATAATGCATTAAATGTAAAAAAAGTGGCAATAATCTTCTCAGACAAAATAAACATAAATTGTATGTTCATATCCATAGCATCTACATGTTACAATGTCAATAATTCTTACTGTTAATTAAGTTAATTCTCTATAATTTGTAATAATTTTGTATTTATTGTTTAGAAACTGTCTTGATTTTGCCCACGAGACAGAATAGTCCAAGTTGGTCAGAACGGTCAGATATCCTGACTATTCCTTAATATGGGTCAAACTCCAAACCCTATATTTCCCATAATGCAACACTATAACATCTTTTGGTTAGACCCTCTCTGTTAGTTAAATACATAGACATTATTAAAAAAAAAAAAAAGAAGTGGACACATGAAAACTGAAGCCATTGCGGAAGTGCCTTCAACCTGCATTCTTTCTAATGGCCAGCAGGGGACTCCACTGGTTGCAAAAATAGGTCGGATGTCTAGAAGTCTATGAGGGAATGACCGTACCAGGGTGACCTGTCAGGCGTAGCAATGCACATGGCCAAAATGCCAAACTCAAGGTTTTGAAATGGTAGTCCACAAACCAGAGGGTAACATCACTGTGACGTTATTTTCTCAGATTTGACAAAACTCCCCACAGCTACAGAAGACTTGATTCAATTGTTTACTCTGGCTGAAGAGGACTCCCCATGAATAAGTTAACAGATATTTATGTGTAAAAATAGACTAATTAATAGAAACAAAGACCGTTATTATTATTATTATTATTAACTGAAGCTGTGTGTTTATGTGTGTCACTGAAGGAGCATTGGGCATCATGCTTGGTTGTTTCTACCGTCTCTCCTGCCTCATGTTCATCTCGACGTACTGGTACATCTTCTTTCTGGACAAAACAGCCTGGAACAATCACTCGTATCTCTACGGCCTCATTGGGTTTCAGCTCACACTCATGGATGGCAACAGATACTGGTGAGTTGATGTTTATAGGCGTTTCCTCACGCATTTCTGCCCTGTCTATATGTCTGAGCTCAACAGAAGAAGACCTTTTTATACCTGTGTCTACTTGTAGGTCAATCGATGGACTAAGGAGGCCTTCTATAAGAAATGCTCACGTGCCTCTATGGAATTACACTGTGTTGAGGGCACAGGTCTGTGCACCAGATACTAATAACAGCTAATGCTGTATGTTTTTCAACTTAAATATTCATGATCATAGCTTTAGTAAAGATGATCTAATGATGTTAATGTATTTTGATCCTCAAAGATATTTATTGTATACTTCATTGCTGGAATCAAAAAGTTGGATGCTGATTGGGTGGAGGGATACTCAATGTCATACTTGGCACACCATTGGCTGTTTGATCCTTTCAAGTATGTATTATTTAGGAGCTCAGTCCAAAGATATTTTAGCCTTTAGTCACTACGTCAGTGCTCCCACTCTGATGTTGCTGTACAACACATTATTTTTCAGATTGATTCTTCCTGTGGAGTTAGTAAACCTGTTGGTGGTGCATGGAGGCGGCCTTGTTCTGGATCTGACCGCCGGCTACCTGCTGTTTTTTGATGCCACACGACCTTATGGATTTTTCTTTGTCTCCTACTTCCACTGTATGAACTCTCAGCTCTTCAGCATTGGTGAGTCTGTTGTTGTGCTTCATTAAAACATCTTGCCATTGTTGCCATGAATGCTTTTTAATTCTGGCTTTAATTAGTGGGGTATCATTTTACCTTCATCTTACTGAGAATGTTAATCCTCCACAGGGATGTTTTCCTACACGATGCTGGCCACCAGTCCTCTTTTCTGCTATCCCAATTGGCCAAGAAGATTCTTTGCTCATTTCCCAGCATTCCTAGTGGCAGTCCTGCCACTCACCTCAACAGAACCTCAGCCCAGTACTTCTTGTGTTTACACTGAGATCCACAGCACCAGCACCCAACGCCAGGAGGCCCCGCCTGTTGCCAAATCTTCCAAACTGAGACTCAAGCACAAGCTGGGAGCCATTTTTACTATTCTCTACATAATAGAACAGTTCTTCCTTCCTTACTCTCATTTCATCACAAAGGTACATCTGCCTTGCATAATGTTCTTCCGGTACTTTTTCTACACAGAGAAATTCTGTTTAATAGGATTGTACTTTGCTGCCAGGAAAAACATTTTAAATCCTCTCTGAGTCACCAGACTGATAGTTGCTCAATCAGAGTCAACGGTTATTGATTCATGAGTCTGAGCAAACAACAGCTCAGACTGGTGTTGTCACCAGAGAGGTGAAAGCACTGAAGAGGAAGATACTCATTATCCAGTTTCTGATATAAACACTTTTCTTTTGGTTCTTTATGAATATAAAGTCTTGGTTTATATACAGATTTTTGTATAGTGGAAGTGGTGACAGTGTTAGAAATCTTTCAGTGTGATTTTTTTTTATTATAAGCATGTAATTATTATTTAATGTTTTGTTTTCATGCAGGGTTACAACAACTGGACCAACGGGTTGTACGGCTACTCATGGGACATGATGGTTCACTCCCGCAGCCATCAGCATGTTAAGATCACCTACAAAGATGGAAAAACTGGGGAAATTGGATTTCTGAACCCTGGGGTGAGTTACGTGGAAAAAAAACCTGACAGAAACAGTATGAGTAAAGTTGCCATTACACTCAGTTTGTCTATATGGTAAATCAGTGCAGCGTAGACAGTCATGATGCAGAGTATGTATGTACTGTATGTGCATCAATCACATTGCAAAGCATTTCAGATAAATTAGGCCCATTAGTCCTGGCATGATAAAACACCTGTCTAAATGACTTGGCTGCAGGCTTTCACATTTGTACTTATTTATGCCGCGTCCTGACTTGACTTTTAAGATTGTGATTTTCTCTTAATTACAGTTGAGCTGATTAGTAATATAGTAATAATTATACTGTCTGTATACTGAAGGTGTTCACACAAAGCCGTCGCTGGAAAGACCATGGAGACATGCTAAAGCAGTATGCCACTTGCCTCAATCGCTTCCTGCCCCGCTATAATATCTCTGATCCGGAAATCTACTTTGACATCTGGGTGTCCATCAATGAACGCTTCCAGCAAAGGTATGAGTGGCTTTTGCTTTAGAAAAATGTGCTAATATATATATATATATATAATACCAGTCATTTAGATGTATCGAATAAATAATCCTTATGAACTAATAGTAAGAATGTGTGTTTTTAAAATTTTCTCTGGATTTTTCTCTAAGGATCTTTGATCCCCGTGTGGATATTGTGAAGGCTGACTGGTCACCTTTCCAACCAAATACATGGCTGATGCCTCTGCTGGTGGACCTGTCACAGTGGAGGACCAAGTTCCAGGAAATTGAGGGCAGTTTGGACAATCAGACTGAGATTGTCTTTATCGCTGATTTCCCAGGTAACAAACCTTGTTCTGTCTTTCATTTAGATGGAAAAATGTTTGTATGTTTGTTATGTTTGTAATTTGTTCTTTTGTTTAGCCATTGTAATAATTGGTGCTACATGGTACTTTACCAAACTGAACATGTTACCTTTTAGGTCTCCACTTAGAAAACTTTGTAAGTGAAGATCTGGGCAACACCAGCATACATGTACTGCAGGGCAATGTGAACGTTGAGGTAGTGGGGGAGAAAAAGAACTACACTCTTCAGCCTGGTGAGCAGATAAAGGTACAGCAACACACTATCACCACCATTAACATTATACCATTTAAAGGATTAGTGTGGAATTTTTGGAAGTGGGGCTGTATGAGGTACAGTAGTCATTGTATTACCTGCAGTAGATGGCGGTCACTGTGTCCCCAGTTTGGAGAAGCAGAGAGTTGTATTTGGTACAGAAGCTAAGCAATGTACTGCTGTGGACAGGGTCAGCAGCAAAACCTATTTCAGCCATGAAATAGAAGGCCTACCGAAAAAAATCAATATCCGTGTACTCTATATTTTTAATATTTTCCTGAACACTCCCTTTAACCAGTAGCCTGTACGTAAGCGCATGACTCCAACATGTTGCACTGCCAACATATGGCTTAAGAAGCTGAAACAAATAAGTTCCCCCGCCTGGAATCTATAACTCTCATATATATATATATATAAAATTTGAAAAGACAAACCAAACTGCTTTGCCGATCTCTGAAAACCCTTGCACTCCTAAGAAACCATCATGAGTATCTAGTGGATGTACTATTAGAACTTAGGTCTTATTAATACATCCTTTCTCCAAGAGAATGAATTGGTCAGTATGCGGTGCTTTTATATATATTGATTTGTTGTCTCGAACGTAACCTTATCTGGAGCAGACTAGGTGTGCAGTATAATTTACTATGCTGATGGACCCCGGCAAGAAGTGAACCACCTTCGTGACCCAGGGTTAAGACCAAATCCTGCTTTGTAGTACAGGTCTCTGGACACATTCAAGCATTTTCCATGTGTATGTGTGTAGGTGCCTGCTGGAGCTTACCATAAGGTTTACACAGTGTCTGAAGACCCATCTTGCTACATGTACATCTACGTCAACACTACAGAGACGGCGCTGCAAGAGAACTTCACCAAGCTGTTTGAGCTGCAGGAGCGCATTCGCAATGGGACAGGTAAAGTGCAGAACTTAATAGGAAAATGACCTCAAAGATCACAATGTTAAACAGCTCTGACCCCCTTGAGAACTTTCTCTTTTTTCATCTAAATGCAAGAAAGGCTCCAAAAACATTCATAAGATGCTGACTGGACAGTCTCATCCCGCAGAAACCGAGCCCCTTCCTCCTGAGCTGCAGCCTCTCATCGCTGCAGACAGTGACGAAGGGTCAGAGGTCAACGCCACCGACCCGATTGTACAGCTTTTCCTGAAGAGGCAGCGCCGCATGAAGGAGGTGAAGAAACGCAGGGAGGCCAGCGTGCTGGAGCGATTGGAGCGTTTTGCAGTGAAAAAGTACTATACGATACGGAGGGGGTGAGTGTCGTCCTCTCAACAGTACAGTGACTTGCCAGGTTTGGTCGTATTAACACAAAGTGCACAACCAAAACCTAAATTAATCTGGGAACTCACTCCTTCTCTTTTAGGTTCTTGATGACAGCTATTGCTATGAGAAACCTGCTGGTGGGTCTCCCTCCTCTTGAACAGCTGACAAGAGAAGTTGCCTTCGCTAACATGAAAGAACCTCAGACAGAAACAAACCAGGACGAACGGCTGAAAGATGAAGTTGGTCATGGAGAACTTTAAAGCTGCCTTTGGGACCAAATATACTCTGTTGAATTGCCTGCGGTTGCTGGATAACATATTCCAGTAGGATGTGTGTGTGTGAGTGTTGTTACTACTGGACTGTTACTGGGACAGCAAGCTGCCCAGAAATCAGCAGATTTTTAATTTTCTATTCATCTGAAAATACGGCATTTCAGATCATTTCCAAATGTAAAGTCAGTATTTTGTTATAGCGTTTGTTTACAAATCTGAATTTATGCAGATGACATGTTTGTTAAAAATCCTTGTTTTAAAATGAAAATGTACAACAAACAAACAAACATGTTACTGAAAGTTTTAATTTTTAATTTGGCAAACATATTGACGTGAACAGGATCAGGTTGGTCAATAACGTTCCTGTAAATGTTTTGTTTATTGCCCAGCTATAATTTCAAAAATTCTGGCTGAGTTATAACAAGCAAATTTACATGCAATAAGATATGTGGAGGTTTTCTCTGTTTTCTGGGTAATATACATATCAACTTTCAAGCTAACCCTATAATGTGAGAAAAACTGACTGACAGAAATACTAAATAATTGTTAGCCTGTTAATCGATGGCCTTTCTAGTCACTTTTCTAATAAAGAGCTAATGATTTCATTAAATTTGATGTTATTTTAATTTTATAAAGTCAACAAACAAGGTTTGTGTAAACACATTTTATTGGTGTCAGTATTTTTACATATCGCCCATCTTAAAGTGCTACAGTAGAATTCCAGTGTTCACTGTAGGTTGACATTATGGCACATAAATGAAACTTGACACGTCGTCAGAACACAAACAGAACAATCTTACACAATATAAATACATATAAATCTATATGCGATGGAGCTCTAGGAAATGATTTACTTTGTTAAAACATAAAATCATGATCTGTTGAGGTTAATTGCGCTGGATTAATTTAATTCAGTATAAATACCATATATTAGTTGTCACTGTGCTGTAGTGGAGGTCCAGTCACATAAGAAGTGTCATCAATTACTGCCCAAGAAGGGACGTGCAACAATGTGTCATAAAAGCTACAAGTCAAGTCATACAAGTGCTCACAGCAGGAGATGGTTTGTACTTTCACAGACATTCGTTCGCAAGGAACAATATAAAGACAATTTGCATTTTATTTCATATTGCACAGTGTTTTACTGGTTTTAAGTCTTATAAATAACCATCTGTCATTTTATAAGTGCTCTGAAAAACAAAACACACATCCCTTTACATGATGGCTGACTATGCCTACAATCACCACAAGTGAAAAACTGGCCGTCTGTTATGTGTACATCCAACGTTAAATGTAACATGACTGGTATTAGTGTTAGATACTGGCCTTTAGCAAGTGTTATCGGAAGCCTATTTTCCCCACCTGTGTTCGCAAATCAAACATGATCCTCATTTTCATGCATAATCTAAAACCCTGATGTGAAAATCAACTTCCGAGTTTTCATGGGATTTGGGACAACATAACAGAAACAGGTTTGCGTTGGATCTAGTCAGTAATAAGGAGAATCTATGCTGTGATTATAATGATTATATATATATATATATATATATATATATATATCTCAAATGCCATACTTGCATGTTGTGTGGGACAGCAATGAGCAGTTTAAACCTTGTGATAGGCTCATTCTGCTGCTATGCCTTCACACACATCTCAGCTTTTATTTTACATGGGAAAAGCTTTAGAGGGAGGAGGAGAGCCAAGCTGGTACTAAGATAACACACTTGAATCTATGACCCAAACTGTTGATGGTTGAGCTGCATTGTGGGTAATGTAGGCGAAAAGAAAGAAAGTGTGGAATAAAAAAAGACAATATCTCTGATTCTGCTGCACTGATTTTGATCCTTTTAATACTATTGTGATTCTGACAATGCCATAGGAGTGTAATGCTATCAAGAAGTCTTTCCTCATTCACAGGTTGTGCCACATATTTCTGTCAGTCCTGGCTACATTTCAAATTGGCTTTGTGCCCAAAACCACACACTTATCACCTGACCAAACCGAGCTGCTTCAAGCAGCCCCACAGAGCTCACAAGCACCACTGTAAACACGACAGTACTCCTTCACAAGCGCCTGATGCTCAAAAAAAAACAAAAAGGAGGTCCACATCACTGCCACAACCTACTTACAAAGCTCAAATAATTTCCACCCTAACATGTGGCACGTATCTGTCAACTCCACCAGAATGCAGCCTCGAAATTGTTCCACGCTGTCCCACACTGCTCTCCCTCAGGTGGCTCAATTTGGCAGCTCAGAACAAATTCAAAAACCACAGTCTGGTGCTACAAAGGCACCTCCCTGTTTGCAGGCCACGATCCAGCTCCCCATGCCAGCCCTGTGCTTTGCCCTTACAGGCCTACTCTGTGTCTGGCAGACTAACCTTCAGTCCAGCAGATATCAACATTTCTTTTCTGGTTCCCCAGAGTTGGAGAGCCATTCACAAACTTCTGGTATTTACTAACTAAAAACTCTCTCTCTCCAAAAAAGCACTTAAGGTCTCCCATACTTTGATTTGCCTCTTATTTTTATGTCCACTTGATCCACAAACTTTCTTAAGAAAGGAGGAAAATATAAGTTAATTACTAATGATGCTCTATCATTTCTGCAAATAATCTTTACTTAATTATTTGGATTGTAAAGCCTCAACACATCTACGTTAACTTGCCAAACTGTTTCACATGTAGTTACATTTTATAGCTGACTGACGTTTAATTAAACTACTTTCTTAGGATTTAAATCCATTGAAATATGGGTCAATATTGTTCATGTTCTATCTGATGGCAATGGTGAAGTTACTGGGCGTAAGGTCAATGGATGATTACATTTTAAATCTAGTGCCAGTGAGTTATTGCGAGATAAGGCATCCCTTTGTTTTGTTTTTTAAATATATGGATTTTTGTTTTATGCTTTGGAAAATTTAAGTGAGGCTAAGTCTATCTTAACATGTTATGTCCTTCCTGATGCACACCTAAAATGGTGTGAAAATATGGAGCACGTTTGTAGTGCCGTGCCCTCAGATTCGGCTCTGCAGCTCTACCTTGGTTGAAGATCTGGGTAGAAAACTCCATGTATCACACCTTCTATCACAACATTTGAAAATGTATCTGAAAGTGAAGAAGGAAAGAAAGTTTTTTTTGACTTAGAAGACATTAAAGTAGGTAATGTAGTTTATAGTTAATTTACCATAATTAATCTTTTCAACTATGCTGCTATTAGAATGTTGATGATGAAAGTACCGAACAAATATTCTGATATTATGCTTAAGTAACCTCAACTCACCATGTGCAGAAGGCAGCAGGTAGGGGTCTCTCAGAAACAGCAAGACTGGTTGATGTGAAAGTTTACTGAGAAGAGTCCAAAAAGGAGAAGTCAGAAGGTTGTGGGCGGCTACATGCTGCATATAAATTAACAGGATAAAGAACGTAGGCGGTGTCACTGACATTGTGTGTGAGGTTCAAGTACAGAGCAAATAGTGACTCAAGTTCTGACTGGTTCAAAATGGTGCAAAACAAAACGTCTGACCTACCATTTCATCCAATAGTTCACTGAAACATTTAACAAAACGACTCACCTTGATTCCTCTGATTCTGTATCAAACGACCTTAGAGAGGAAAAATAAAAGTTAAGCCACATAGCCTTCCAGTAGTCTGGGAACAAACTCTCCCACAAACAAAATATTATTTTTATATATTTATTATTTCATTTAAAAAAGCTGCAGTTTCAACTCACCCACAGCTTTCTGTTTTTGGCACTGAAGGAAAGTGGCGGATGTTCAGGAAATCCAGGAATATCTTTGGAAGAACCCCATTTTCCATAATTATAGTCTGACAAAACAAAAGCAAATTGCAATGTGCACATGAAACAGCAGTACACAACTCAAGTGGCCTGCATGACCTTTCTTTGTGTGTTTACTTTGAGAAAGACAAAATTTGTATTTGGTAAAAGCAGAAAGGCTCAGTTTATGATACTGACTTCATAGACATAATGTTCTGGTTCTTGATTTTAAGCAAACAGTCCCAGCAAGTAGAATGAAGGTGTTGGAGTACCTGCAGGTAGAGTTCCAGCCCATGTCGCCTCTGCTCCAGGACTTTGGGAACCCAGTTTCTAACATGTTTCGAAGGGATCTCAGGTGGCTTTATGCTCTTCTTTAGCTATAAGGATTTAAAAGGATCATTAAAAACATACAGTACATGGTAGATCAGGAAAGAGGAAAAACAAGAGTTTGCATCCTATTGTAGTGTGTTTTTTGCTAAATAGCTACAGCCAATATCATTGGCTTTGTCATTATTTTGGCTGGTTACTTAGGTCACTAACTAAAGTATCAAACAAATTAAAATGTTGACCTGATCTCACTACAAAATATTGTGCCAACCCACTGAGTAGATGGTGTGATATTTCACAGTATAAGTAAAAACTTACTGACTAATGAAAAGGACAGGAAAAGGAACTCATCTGTAAAGCTACAACCTCAAACAAACTAGTATGGTGAACGTGGTTAACCACCATGGAAAACATTCATTATTTATTTGCTGTGATTTCCTGAGCATGCCTACAGTGCACACCTCTTTTTGCACTAGTAGATGGGTAGACAATGTTGTGTTTTTAATGTTCCCATTTCTTGTATGTATTTTTATGTTCTGTGAAGCACACTTCCATCCTTTTGTATGGTATGTGCAACATAGGGTTTTACAAAAGTCAAATCAATTTTACTTTTATTACCCAGTTAATTGTTTAGTCTCTAAACTCGCAAACGTTAAAGACCGCAGCCCATAGAACCCAATTGCCTTATTTGATAAATTACTTAAAATGATAACTGAATATTAAAATGCCTCTCAATTAATTTTCAGTGGTTTTACCAATTAATTAACTGACTAAATAACCATTTTCAGAACTTAGGGAAATCCAGACATTAAAATGCTCAAACATGGTGGTTAATATGTAAAAAACAAGATTTTCACTTTCACTTGAACACTAAATGTTAACTCATGAGAATGGAGGTGTTTGTTGATACTCAACAGCAATAAATGACTATAAACTTTAGGGATACACTAAATCTCACCATTTTATGCAAAGTATGGAATTCACTGTAGCGTTTCTCAACAGAATGTTGTCTGCCATTCATCAGCACGTCAATTTTAAAGACCTGAAAGAAAGGAAATAGTTAATACTACTGAATTCTGTTGTTGAGAGTCAGTTGAGGGAATCATGATTTATCACCAGAGCCCATCAGCCACTAACATCCCCACCCAGTGCAACCAGTCAGTGCGTGACTGACTGACCAGCTGACTGCGGAGCTGTCAGTTACAGTCTATGTCAGCTAGTTACCAAGAGGAAACATCTGACAGCTGCAGTAGAAGAACAATTTGACCTGTCAGAGTTACTGTTAACATCCCTAAACGGACTTCCTTCACTCAGCTGGATTCTTCCGTAAAAGGCAGATACTGCATACACGCTGCTGTTCATGCCAGCATTATGTAAAAAAAGGAAGTCAACTCTTAAATGACGGCAGTGTTGTTAATGCAATTCTGGACTCACATAAACACATACTGGATCTCCCAAAGACAGAGATCTGACAAGTAACAATTACAACCCTCAGTTTGTCACAAGATGATTAAAGGGAAGTAGAAGAACAAATTATATTTATTTTTCTGACTTTTGTTTTATCAGTTACTTTCCTCTTACGAAATACTAGATACTGGTTTCACCTCTAAGGGAGGCTTAAAATTAGGCATGGACCAATCCAGTACAATGGTTTGGTATCAGCGCCGTGGATCAGGTATTGGCCATGACATGATCAGTGTATAATTTCTTTGTCAATGTCATTAGAAAAGGTTTTTCCACTATCACATTCACTTGGTCCTGGCAAGCTTCCCACTCACTTTATATAGTGTTTGAGGAATACAAAATTTAAAGTAACATTTTGGGAAATAAAGTTATTGGCGGGAGGATTAATATGACTTTACTTTAGCTTAGCATAAAGAATGAGAAAAGGGGGAAACTGTTAGCCTGACTCCAAGAAAGCAAATAAGTATATTTCCCAAAAGGGCAAACTATTTTTTTAAATTTGGAAAAAAACAGGCATGGAGGCACAGCCATGGAGTTTGAAAGAAATGAAAGATTAGGGTCTAATCAAAAGGTTATTGAATGCATTATGGGAAATGTAGGATCCAACGTTTTCAGAGGTTGACCTATTCTAAGGACTAGTAAAAGTCAGTATATCTCAACCCATGCTTCTTTGATTTTGACAATTTAAAAAATATATGTCTCTCACAAGTCTCACAACCATCTGGAACTGCAACACTAAATTTCTAATGTACCTTTAAAGTGAAATGTATCATAGACACTTGACACAAGGTACAATGAATTTATGTAAGAAAGCTTTATTAAAACCAGTGACTGGACGTTTTGGTTTACATGCCCAGTGGCTCTATCTAGACACAAATTCAGAAGTCTCTGAGTTGGAGTTTTCTCTGTATTATCTAGTAACGTTATAGTTGCTCCTTTAGATTATTTGATTGATTTACAATGAAGTGCGTACAATGTATAAACACAGAAGCGGCTTAAGGGCTGATGTGCGGCTTCGGCTGTTAACCGAACAAGTGACATTTACGCTGCTTGATCCGCGATGTTAAACAGGTTTTTATTTCAAGGGTACAGAATAATATCCGAGTTAAAATGAAAAACTGATGACAGCAGCAAAGCAGACGACAGAGACACAGCTTGTTTTAGAGCAGCTTACCGTGTATCCTTTCTCGATCGAGTTGTTTTCTGAACGAAACGACGGGATCGACACTCTAACTGGATGCATTTTGATTTTATGAAACGAACGGATTTGTAGGTAATAATCGACCCACTGGGGCGCTCACACACACACATACACACACTCACACTGCTGGTGGTGAAGGTTTACTCCAGTTTCTCTGGCAGCCTGATAAAAATCACTGAATTCCAACAACATGCGCAAAGTGTCAGTGGCGCCGCCTGCTGGGGCGGAGGATACTGCAGATGACCAGGTTGTGATTTTATGGTTCATTTTAATATTGTGCAACAATAACGTTGAAGTTCTCCAAATTATGGAGCCCCCGCAGTGTTAAATATTAAATAACCAAAGAAATCCAAAAATGTATACATTGTGCAGAATATATACATGACCGAATACTTAAAAAAATAATAGTATGTTAAAAGGTTGCTTCATCATTCTTATTTTCATAATAAATTTTTTTTTGTTGGAGCCAATTATAATTTTTTATTTATAACATTTCCTTTTATAAAAGCATGTTTTTATTTCATAGTTCATTCCTCTATTTCATAATGTCACATTTCGTGAGACATTGGTGTCACCAGTTACGGCCCCCTCATCTTTCAGCCAATCACATGCCCTCTGCCTCCCTTAAACCAACTACTATCAATATTTTATATTAAAAATTGGTTCACATGATTTCTTTTTTAAGAGGACAGACACAGTTAGCTAGCAGCACGTGAACAGAGGGGAGCATTCAGTAGCTAATAAGCCAGATGTTTTCCTCAGGAGCTGGTGGAGACCAAAAAGAGAGCTAGAAGGAGTGAGTAAGTCATAGTGCTCAGTATGTAGCATGAGCAGCTTTGTCAAAAGCTAAATCATTTAAACTTTTTTTGATTATTCGGGGATCCGTGTTGATCTTTATTATTTAATTATCAATGGTTAACTTATTAGCCTGATGGTTTAATAATTAGTTTGAACTAAAATGGCATTATGTAGCTCAGACTGGAAAGTTATCAGCTACAATTCTGATTATCTATTGATAGTTAAAAGTTAAATAAATTAATCAAAAAAATTATCATAATCTGTAAAGAAAATAATCCGACCTACTTCAAAGCTTCTATATTTTATGTTCTTTTTAACGTGTGTGTGTGTCTGTGTTTTTCAGTCAGTGTGTGTGTGTGTAGAAAAGGCATTCCACTGAGGATGGATGCTAGATAACAAAAATATCAGTCAAATAGTAAAAAAATACATTTCATATTAAACATATACACAGATTTATATAGGCTATATATATATATATATACATATATATGCTACATATAGTCAAAAGGTACATAGATAAAATCACAGTATATGCAGAGAAAAATACATGTATCCCCAATCAATAGTTTGTACATAAAGGACTCAGCCACAGGACCTGTACACTTTTCCAAGGTGAAACACAACACTTCCACTCTCAGATGTATGGGAATTGAGGTAGTATATATGATGACTATTTAGCCTGAGTCCTTTATGGAGTATAAACTATTTGGAGTACATGTATTTTTCTTTGTATTTACTGTGATTTTCTTTAGAAGAAGCAAAAGCAAGACACATTGGTAATCACTTCAAACTGGTGATAAAGTGATAAAATTTCGCAACATTTTATTCAACTAAGTTTCACCAAAAGCTCTGGAGTAAAGAGAGTTTCTTACGTTGCTTATAAATATAAAAAATACCTTTTCCAACTGGTTAAAACTGTAATATAATTGATATTTACTTAACAATGAGGGAAAACTGGTTTATGTTTGTACTTTGCTATGTTAAACTTCTAAATTCTAAACTTTTAAACTTTTAAACTTCTAAACTTCTACACTTCTAAACTTCTGAACTTCTAAATAAAGAATAAAATCTTCATGGATCTTATTCTTTAAGTACCTTACAAGTGTTATGAAAAGCAAGCAGTACAATGCAATAGAGTAAGAAATAAGAATATACCAATGGGTAAAAAGCAAAAATTATACTTAAGATTATACTTCCCCCCTAAATTAGGAGTATTTTAAATTATAAAATGTATGCTTAACAATTAATTTCATGATGTTTTATAAGTTTTCATATGCAGTCCTCTTCATTTACAGAACATCTTTGCTGCTGAGTTGCTGTGAATGACTATCATTTCTTAATACCTAAAAACAAAAGAAAAAGAAAAGAATAAAAACAGCATTAATGGAGCACATGAGAAATATCAGAGAAATATTTGTTACTTGAGACATGATACTTACGTTGACATGTGACAACCTGACAGGGAGGCGTAGTTGCCAGTGTAGTGAACGTCACAGCGCACAATGTTGTTGCTGTAGTCTGATTCTGGGACCTGATAATACGGATTTACACTGATCTGTGGAGAACGAAAGAATATAGATATACAAAAATATAAGAATCAATAACACAGCAACAAAGATAAATAAACAGCATAAACTCAAATCAAATATTCATAAATGTATTGTGTTTCCACACAAGTGTAACTCTTTTAAAAGGGTTCAGTGTCTCCAGAGGAAGCCAAACGTCATCTGGTATTTCTAACAAACCTTGAGGATATAGTTTCCAGGTTTCACATCTGTGATGTCAATCCACTGGCAGTCGATGTCTGCGTTGTAGGTATCATAACATCCTGGGCTCAGGCCCTGCACATTGGACAGCATCCACATAAAACATTTTATAAACAAACAAACAAACCTATTATTATAATATCAGATTGTTATCATCTCTAATGGTAATAATAATAATAATAATAATAATAATAATAATAATAATAGTAAAAACTGAATTTGTTGTTCGATCTTAGTGTTGTTTTTGGATTCAAAGTCAACAAAAAGAGATTGAGAAAAAATAAACAAGAAAATACAGAATGGAAAAAGAAATAATACACTGAACAACTGATCACAGACGTTCAGGCAGGTGGGATCATCTCGCAGGAGAAACAGGAAATCATTAAATCACCATCACTACTGGCTCATGCAAAAAGGAAATACTAAAGTTGTTCTCTAAGGGACGGCTGCCTCAGTAAAAGAGCACTTGTTTTTCTTAGCTTCACTCTCCTTTTTAGAGACAATTTTAAACCAAGATCCTACAACTAGGTCTTTGTGAAAAGCAAGACATTAACTTCTATTTTAACACTTTTGCACATGAAACTAAATCATTATAGTGTGAATGTGCAACAACGTGTCATCGCAGTTTGTAGTTCTTTATAGTTGTTTATTTCTTGTGAACTGGCTTTTATTAACAGTTTCAATTCAAACAGACCTTTTTCACGGAAGACATTTACACGGCGCGGGTGTAAATAATACAATTAATTAGACCTTCAGGTTTAGGGTCCTGGTATTGTGCATGCTGGCTCACTGTCACATTTTCATGGCTTACTGGAACACTTGAATAGATCTGAGCCGTCTTTAATGTTATAAGTAAAACCAGTGATTTTCCTGCTATTACAAGTCAAAAAGTCTGCTGTGAAAAAGGCATACTATTTTCCACCAACAGGATGCTAGTACTATGTACAAATGTCATGGACAATTTGTACAATGAAAAGTGACATGAATGTGACCATGTAACATGATTAGCATATTGTCCTTTTGGTCATTGTGGTCATTTACAAAAAATATTCTGTTGTAAAATAATCCAAGTACAAAGCAGGGCAGAGTATTCATCTCTGCTGGTGTGTATTTTAAAGGATTAAGGCTTAACACCTGCAATAACTATTTCCTGGCTGGTTACATATAACGGTCTCTGTGTACCTGTGTTTATTTACGGCTCAGCTACTTGGTAGTACTTGATTCAAAATTACATTGTTGCTTAGGAGCTGGCTAAATTTGGTAGCAGCTGAGCTCACTTACTTCAACCTACATTAACTATTTTTTGGCTACTTGGGGGCAGCAGAAACAGACTGTAATCAGAAGACAGACATATTATAACCTTATAAAGCTGACGTGGTAAACAAAACAAAACAAAAAGTTGCTTATTTTGACATCCAGCAGACCCTAAGCAACATTAGCTGACCGCCTGGTAAATGTAAGTCACTCTCCTTTTAGTTCTGTTTTTGTCTATTTAGCTGCTGAATGCTTGACTATTATGATGCATTTGTTGCTGCTTGTGACGTCACTAGAAAGCGGAAGAAAAGCAGTTCAGAGCAGTGTTTTCTGTGGTAGATGGGAACTCCCTTTGGGGTGGACTTTGGGCTTTTTCACTTTGCAAACCTGTTACATGCACAAAAAAAGATATATAACTTAATAAAGGAGAGGGAAAAAGCCAAAAAGATGTTAAGATGAAAATATTGGTAAGAGCAGCTTTAAAGTCAGTAATAACAGGGGTGTTTGAGACCTGGGTATGTGTAGTGCAGGCATATCGCCTGTAGTAGCCATAGTCACAGGAAGTGTCCTCCAGGCAGAAGCTGGCCTTGTGGCCCTCAGCCACCGAATGCTGAGTGGTGGCATCCAGCAGGTCATAATGGCTGAACTCATCCATGCTGTGGTAGTGTCTGTGCATCAGCAGAAATAGTGTTCAACAACATCTTTAATCTAAACTTTTTTAAACAACCAAGCACTGTTTGTCATGTTGAGACCCACCAGAACAACCTAACCAAAACACTGACTAAAGTCTTTACAGTCTACATCAACAGTTTGTTGGATCTCTGCCAAATGTGCTCCATTTTGGGGATTAGCACAGTGGACTGGTTGTTTCACAACATAACTATGGACAGAGGTAATTTCTGTGGAATCAAGGAAGACTAAGCACATTTCCTTAAGTTCAATAAAGGGACAAAAATACCAGCTGTTTTCCTTTTCGGCTCATTATCCTCATCCCACAACTTGACTTTGCAGTTGTGAATAAACTGAATTCTAAGGACATATGAAGTTCATTCACATAATCCCAAGTGGTTTTTACTGTTTTTACTGAGATTATAAAAATAGAAAATGACATCTTTAAAAGTCTATAGATATACATACAACTCATGTTAAGATGTCAGTCCTGATATCAACATTTCTGCAAAGCAATAAAACTGCCAACAAAAACTATATAACAGCCAAAAGTAGCACAACTGTGGTTCAACAGGGGGTGCCATACCACAACTACAGACTAGAAAAGACAAATAGTGTAGTGACAAACAGTGTTTCTTGGAAACAATTGGTTGCTTACATTTTTTAACTGAGGAACAAAACAACCACATAGAGTTACAATGTGTGAAGTGTGATAAAACATGTGAATAATGCAGTATTTAAATGTTTCTTAGATGTGTCTCTCCAAAACGTCTCACTTTGCATTCAAGGCAGAACAGTCCAGATCTGGTTTATTTATGCATAAAACCTTCATGCAAATGACTCCAATTGATGCCAGCCTGTTGGGCAGTGCGAACAAATGATGCAAGAGAACAGCCACAAGTCACTGAGACTCTTTCTCTGTGTGATGGTGAGGTGATTCAGTGCTAACATGACATTATACTCACTGGTGACAGCTGTGCCACTCCCAGGAGTAACGTGGCCTGTTGGGGAGGAAGTCTGCTGTCCCCTGGTTCTTGACTCTCTGAGGAAACCTCAAGAGCATACGGGTGTCATAATCTCTGGCTCTATAGGCTGTGCTGCAGACAAAAACCAAAGCAAGAGAATTAGTTTGCAGAAGAAAAAAAACACAAATGTCCTATATGGACATGATTACATCACTAAGATTGTTTTTCCTGCTACATCCCCTTCTATGAGTGGAGCAGATTTTCAGTGTCTGAGTGAAGGCTGCCTAAATGGTGGGTGGAAAAATAATTTGGAGGCTCGGGGTTGTTTGGGTTAGTTTTCGATAATGTGTTTACCATTCGTGCTTTCTCTCCTCGGGCAAACTATGATTAAACTTTACAGAAATCCACCACTCCACCCCTCTCCACCATCAGTGGCAGGATTCGGTTAAATTTACCTCATGGTTCCACTGGGCAGCCCTAACCCACAAACACTTAAGGTGGTTGTTATGGCTCAAAGCTCCCTGAATCACACTCAGACTTGGCTGCAAACCCTGTTTTTTCTTCTTTCTCCATGTGGATAAGTCCTGACAGCAGTCTACCTTGACAAACAGTTTTCCTCAGCTGCACATCTCAGGTTGTACATTGGGACTCTCTGGGCATAAGCAGACGATTGAATGTAGTATGCGTCAGGTACGAGATCAGGCAGACCTAAAACATCAAAACAACATTATAATAGTGATAACAGCTGAAAACGAGTGTCCATAAAAGTGGTGCATAAAACATAAACTGTAAAACAATAACAAACAACAATAATAAACTGACATAATTCACTAACTGGATATCCCTCCCCCCCCCCATAGATCTTATATGATAGATGCTTGATAGATCTGAAGTGTTTAAGCATCATAAACACAGCTTCCTTTCTATCTTAATGACTTGCGTGTTTGAGAACACTTTCCCCATTCTTACCGTACTGATGATAACGTGTGCCATATCCGGGTCTGGATCCTTGCCTCGGTCTCTCGTAAACGTCATAATGATTGTAATATGGATTATCACTATCAATGGATTTGTAGGGGTCGTAGGGATCATCGCCCACCATCATATCTTCTCTCCTGGGCAGAGGCGGACTGACATTGACCTTTTCCTGGGTCTCATTGGTGCTCCTCTGCGTCCCGGTGCGCTCACCGCGGCGGTCTTGGAGATGCTGGCGGTGCTCCTGCCCTCTCACGAGCCTTTGGAGCGGAGGCGGGAGACCACCGGGGCCGGGCGGGCTGGACCCCGGGCTGGGAGGCTGCTGTTGCTGTTGTTGCTGGGCCACCGGCTGGCTGGAGGTGTCCGGATGTCTCACGTCCGCATCTCGAATGATGGTGACAGGTCGCGCTTGCACTTGCTTATGAGGCGCGCCCCTCCGCCTCGGTGGCTGATACTCCGAGCCCTGGCTTAAAATGCTAAAAACCTTGCCGTTGTGTGACCACTGTAGCGTCTGTCGGAGAGCCGCTCTTTGGTTATCTCCTTGTTGTGTCCCCGGGTTTCTCTGAGACTGGGCCTCTTGCAGGATGAAAACAAAAAAACAGACGCACGCATATGCGCAAAGCGGCGTGCCAAATATGCGTAATCCCATTATGAACTAAATTAAAGGAGATTTAATGGGACAAAACGAAAACTTCAAATGAGCCGAGGGTGCTACTTGTCTTTAACTTAAATATCCGTCATGTCTATTTGAAGGATATTCAGTGAGTAGAGAAGAAACGCAAACGAAAGTTAAAATGTATCTGTGTGAACTCATATCTCTGCTCCTGCAGTCTGCAGATGCGTCCAGTGAGATGATGGTGAGGAGGAGGAGTTCGGCACATTTCTGAATCTGTTACACAAGTTTGGTGCTGCTGCTCATATAACCACTGGATAGATGGGCCTACGTGATGTCTGATCGTGCCCAGTCAAGTGCGTTTGATTACTGCTCAGTCTGGCCCTTAGAAAGCTAATGTTAGTGACAAGCAATGACCCTTATCTTCTTCATCACAAAGAACAGATGCACATTTGGAATCGTAATAGTTATATAAAAACACAAAAACAGATGTAAACTTTCTTGTGAAATCCGTAGTTGAGATAGCTCGTGAATAACGCGACCCATTTTCTAGAAACTATTGTAGGCCATATTGTCATCATGTTTTCTTTCTCTGCCGAATCAACAAAATGTCATGATAAATAGCCTTTTCCCTGACTGTTGGATGAACTCCCAACCAAATTGCAACACACTCTGCCAGAAATCTCTACACTCAACTTTCTCATAAGAACATCTGAGAAACCTAAACATGACTCTTTGACGGCCATGCAACATATTCAGTTTTTTTCTGGGAAACCATCTGCCACAAACCTCCCTTCACCCCAACCGCACCTCAGTCATGTCTGTGCTGCAGCTCCGCTGACAACGTGAACGCCTCACAAACGTGCATCTCACAGTAATCTTCTATAAGGTCATAATTAGTCTATTTTGAGCAATAAACAAGAGGAGGCTGCGGTGATACTTGATATCTGGATTTCTGCGTCTGATGGCAGACTGGTGACCCCTACGCTCCTCTCCTGATAAGCCATTTGCTGCAGCCCAGTCAAATCACCGCCCTGATGTTAACACCAGAGGTATAATGCATAGCTTGGGAAATGTAATCCAAGGTTTTCATTTTCCTCTCAACCAAACCATTCTTTTAAGCATCTAGACAATTGACTGTAGCATGGCTGCTGCTAAACCGCAGCTAATGACCAACAGGGTTCAGTTCTCAAATCAAAAAGTTTTATGACTTTATGGATTTTTTCCAACATCTACAACCAGAGATGAATTATGAGCTGTTTTGTATCTTTAAAAACTACTAGCACGAGATGTCCCCAAGCAACAAGTAATAGACTATGCTTCACTAAGTCTAGGTTCAAAATGGAGCTAAAACGAAATGGAAAATAAAAGGAAACAGACATGAAAAGACCCCAAAATGATCAAAATAATCAATTACAGTGTCCCACATCCTGACACTAGGGGGCAGATGACTGCAATTAACATTGGAGTTGCATGTCATTTTGTTTTCAGTGGGGGAGGGATTTTTTTATTTATTTTCCAAGAGTTAAGAGCAATGCTTTGTTTTCAGAATGTCCTTTTCACTCTCACATAGTTCGCTGCATTTACACCTGGAAACTACCCAGTACTGTGACAGTCTTACCTCTTGGTCTCAGGAGTAGTATGTAGCTGCAGTACCAGAGGCTGCAGTTTCAGGACCGCAGTCCTACCGGAACTGCATTTCTAGGACCCTTGTTTACTTTGATACTGCCAACTGGCTGGCTAGCTAGCTGGACAATGGCTGGTGTACCGACGTGACAGTGATTCAGCAGCACAGTTCTCCTAATCTGGAATTTTTTATCATTAACTGTAAACCGTTTTACTCCCCCCGTGAGTTTACTTCATTAGCTGTGGTCGGTGTTTACATTCTGCCGCAGGCCAACGTGCAGTACGCACAGCACATACTGGCTGACCGGATACTGTGTGTGGAGCAGACAAACCTGGAGTCCCTTGTTATTGTTCTCGATGACTATAACAAAGGAAACCTCAGCCAAGAACTCCCCAAATACAGACAGTTTATAAAGTGTCCAACCAGAGAGGGGAACACTTTGGATCACTGCTACACCACAGTTAGAAGTGCCTATCACGCCGTCACACGTGCTCCACTGGGACACTCTGATCACGTCATGGTGCACCTGATTCCTGCATACAGGCAAAAATTAAAGCTCTGTAAAACTGTAGTGAGGACATCAAAGAAATGGACCAGTGACGCTGTAGAGGATCTTCAGGCGTGCTGACTTATAACAATGACAAACCCTGGTTTACAGCCAAACTCAGACAGCTAAGGTTGGAAAAGGAGGAGGCATTTAGGAGTGGGCACAGACCTGGGTGCAGGGCGTTAAAGTACATGTTTAGCAAGGAGGTGCGAGAAGCTAAACGACTATACTCAGGCCCCATCCACACTACTGCGTTTTCGAATTAAAACAGAGACCTTTTGCTACATTTGCACGTCCCATCCAAACTACAATGCTGAAAACAAAAATGGAGAAGTTTGGAAATGCTGCCGACCCCATTTTGCGTTTCAAACCTCCGGAGGGCGTTTTAGTGAAGATGGGCCAAAACGGAGGATTTTAGAAACGATGACACAGCCGCTCATGCTCGGCTCTCTGATTGGGTCTTGTAAAGCAGAAACACGATGCTGCTGACCGGGTTTTTGACATCATATTTTTATTAAAATATTATGTACCGTGCAAATAACACTTATTTGCCTACACTTACTGTGCATGTCGCCGTTTACTTTGCAACAACTCAGTTTTCCGCCGCCACACTACCGTGTTACATTCAGTAACAGTCCCAGCTCGTTATTGATGCATGCATGCATGCATGCAAAAAATAAAAGCTGGTCTGATGCTTCGTCTGTATTTATTTATTCTTTCGCCAAATCTTCTGTAACTATGGAATAGACCACTTGCTTCCTGTCTACACTGGCATGTGCATGCCCAGTGTACCTGAACGGGCCCTAGCTGTGCATTTTCAGTCGTTTTAATGTAGACGGAGATCAACCCCAAAATGCAGTTAAAACGCTGGTGTGGACGGAGATCGTAATAGTTTTAGTTTGTAAACTAAAACAGAGTAGTGTGGATGGGGCCTCAATCGGACACCATATCGGATAACCCCCCCCCCGTCCATCTCAAAGAGGGATGTCAACAGACTACTCAGGAGGCAGAAACTGTGCAAAGCAGCTGGGCTGGACTCCACCCTGAAGCACTGTGCTGATCAATGGTCTCTGGTGTTCACATCCCATGTGCCAGTCTGCTTCAAAGCCTCCACCATCATCCCAGTCCCCAAAAAACCAAGGACCACAGGACTAAACAACTTCAAACCCATCGCCCTGACCTCTGTGGTATGAAGTCCTTTGAACGCCTTGTGTTGTCCCACCTTAAATCCATTACAGACCCACTCCTGGACCCCCTGCAGTTCGCCTACAGAGCCAACAGGTCTGTAGATGATGCAGTAAACATGGCCCTTCACTTCATCCTCCAGCACCTGGACTCCCCAGGAACCTACGCCAGGATCCTGTTTGTGGATTTCAGCTCTGCTTTCAACACCATCATCCCGGCCCTGCTGCAGGACAAGCTCTCCCAGGTGAACGTGCCTGACTCCACCTGCAGGTGGATCACTGACTTCCTGATGGACAGGAAGAAGGATGTGAAACTGGGAAAATATGTCTCTGACTCCAGGACCATCAGCACTGGATCCCCTCAAGGCTGCGTTCTTTCCCCTCTGCTCTTCTCCCTGTACACCAACAGCTGCACCTCCAGTCACCAGTCCGTCAAGCTCCTGAAGTTTGTGGACGACACCACCCTCATTGGGCTCATCTCTGGTAAGTCTGCCTACAGGTGGGAGATCGACCATCTGGTGACCTGGTGCAGCCAGAACAGTCTGGAGCTCAATGCTCTGAAGACAGTGGAGATGATCGTGGATTTTAGAAAGAGCCCAGCCCCACCCTCTCCCATCATTCTGAGTGACTCCTCAGTCACCACTGTGGACTCCTTCTGCTTCCTGGGTACCATCATCTCCCAGGACCTCAAGTGGGAGCTGAGCATCACCTCCATCATAAAGAAGGTCCAGCAGATGATATACATCCTGCGGCAGCTGAAGAAGTTCGAGTCCATCCTCAGCTCCTCCGATGGTGATGGAGGAGGGCAGCGTATCATTCGCTCTGCAGAGAAGGTGATTGGCTGCAATATTCCATCACTGAAGGAACTGTACGCCTCCAGGACTCTGAAGCGAGCAGGAAAGACTGTAGTTGACAACTCCCACCCTGGACACAAACTGTTTCAGACTCTCCCCTCTGGCAGGAGCTGCGGCCCATCAGGACCAAAACCTCTCGCCACAAAAACAGCTTATTCCCATCTGCAGCTAGCCTCATTAACGAGACCCAGGTCCCCCACTGACACTCCCCCCTTGCAAATAATACAAATGTCTCTGCACATGTAAATATTATTTCATATCATATCATGCACAAACCTGGCATATTGCACATATTTGTTGTTAATTATTAATCTTTGTTGTTGTATATTTTTATATTGTCAATTTATATATTTATGTACACAATATCCTCTTCAGTTGCAATATGTCTGCACGACACAAATCCAGAATAATGCACATGTAAATATCTGCAACGTTGTTCTTTCTCTGCAAAGCATTGTCTATTCCATATTTATATATTTCTACATTTATTTATGACAACTGTATGTTTGTCTACGTGTAGCACCTTATCACCAAAGCAAATCCCTCGTATGTGTAAAACACTACTTCGCAATAAAGCTCTTTCTGATTCTGATTCTGATAATATTTCCCTCTGTGATGAAGTGGAGGAGAAGTAAAAATAAGCAGGAAAAAATACCTTATCTACAGTATTTGAGTAACAACAACAGTTATTTTTTATATTTCACATGCCAGATTTCTGGCTGTGCTGGTTTGCACCTCTCTCTGGTTTTAAGTGGGTGGGGCTAAATTGCAAAAACAATTTTTGGAAAAATTTTGAAACCTGTATTGTTGACATCAGTGTGCACTTGTTAGCAGCCTTCTTCCTCCCTGCCTTTATTGGGTCCATTGCTTCATTTCTTGGCATGTTACTGCCGCCTGTAGATCGGTGGAGTAGTGTGAAACATTTGACAGGAATGTACAGTATATCGTGTCATCCGCTTGCTTGTGCGACATGTGCGCCCTTATGTGCGAGAAAAAACAAAGCAGGGCCCCACTCATAAAAACATTGCTCAATAATGCTAGTAGTGGTCAAAAACTCCATATGGCATCTTCCCTTTATTGCTGCATATTTTGAATATTTAATTTTATAGAGAATTACTTCAGATGAAACCAGTTTTTCAGAGATGAAGAATCACGGAAGACTAAAAATACGTTTTAGTCTGAAAATAGGTTCTATTTAATGGTAGAGTACGTGGATTGAATCATGCTGTAAATTACAGTTACAGTTGTATTGTTCTTGGATAACGGAGTGCACACATCATCTCACAGTTACGTGAGGTTACATTTTAAGCTTGTGTAAGCTCTGAGGGCTCCTGAAAATGTATCCTCCCTACAGACTTGTTTGAGTTGTTCAAGAGTTAAAGATAAGTGGGACATGTGCCAGTGGCTCACTAATCCAGAAGATGCATTTATGAAATCGAGACACATAAATCACCTCCTGAGTATTAAAAAGTGAAGACGTGAATAAAAGAACTTTTGACTCACAAAATCTTTCCACCCTGAATCACAGCAACATCACCAATGAATTCGGCTGCTCTCTTATAAACGTTTCCTGTTATGTCTTCAGAGATGCCCTCTAGCAGTTTTAATTTAATTCTATTGTGTAGGATTTGATTCCAGTATAAAACGGCTGTGGATGTACTTTTTTTGTGGTAGTGATTTTTTTGTGATTGTGATTTCTGCTTTGAGGATGACTAACATGCAGTTTTGTGACTGCATATCACCATTTCCTCCAGAGAGTGAAAAATATGTGCACTGGTTTGCCTCCTTTCTCTGCTCTAGAACGCCAGACAGACAGACAGAACCAGCTGTACTGGGTCGCTAATGTTTTTTGCTTGTAATTCATTGGACTTTCCCCATGCAGACTCCTTTTTCTCTCCAGTGAGGGCAGCACAGTGTTCCCTCACACAGCTCAGAGACACATCTGCAAGGAATTAGCCAAGTTCTTTTGTCCACGTTGCTGGAATTCACCCCCATTCCTGACTTTTTGGGCACTGGATTGAGCCGAAAGAATTTGAATAAATCCACATCTGAGTTGCAGAATAAGGAGGGAAAATAGTGACAAGGCCTCCTGCATAAGACCTGACATTGAGTAAAGTGAGGAAAAATATCTCCATCCTTTCATGATGCTAAATTTACTGTAAACCCAACACCGATTATTCAGTGCCATCACTGAGTAAACATCTGGCAGACATTTGCCACATCACTTGAGACGTGAAGCCTACATTTAAGCATTTACAGCAGCCAGTGTCTGGATTTAGGGCAGATAGATATTTTATTAAATGTGCTTTTATGAGCATGTAATCCATCAACGCTATGACATAAAACTGACATCTCTGCAACTTTCATGGCTTTGTTTTTCTTAAACAAGTCTTTAAAAAATGCTAAAAATGCAGGTCTCACTTTGAAAATAAGTGTTATTTACCCAGTTCTGATCCCCCATGCATTTAATTATTGATTTTCCTGGCATCATTACGATTACATCACAGTTAAACCAGACCACACACATCTCTCAAGCATCCATGCTGATGTCCTCTAATCTATTCCCAAGACTCTTCTTTCACATCCCTCTACTTAAACCCCACAAGTTCTATCCCATAACATTGTTGCTTGTGTTAAGTAGATTTGTAGGCTACTCCTTGATTTCCTTTTGTAGTAGATTTTTCCCTCCACCCATTTGCAAAACTCAGCCTATTGAAATAAGATCAGTTTCAGATCAGCACAAAACTCTACAACAAAAACTGACAATTCAAATAGTTTCTCCTCTTTCATAAATACTTTGTGTACCAAGAGTAATGGAAACCAAGTCAGGGCTTGCACCACACACACACACACACACACACACACACACACACACACACACACACAGTCTGGTGGACTACGTGGCACTCTGCACATGCACTATAGACTCTGCAACCAGGAGGCGGAGCATTTTATCAAGAAACACAGCCCAGAAAACTTTACATTGTGCGATGATTCATGCAGATGTCTTTTTCTTTTTCACTCCCTGTATCTCATCTCATCCTACAACCACAGACAGGCTGGGAGAAAATCCAGTTACACTTTTTCTCAATTGCTTAAACACTATAAGCAGGCTTTCTCCATTTTTCAAAAAGCAAACCCATTTCTCTAAACTCTACACACAAATCCCTTCATTTCTCATTTCGTACACCATGCGGTAATTGAGAAAACACTGACATTCAATATTGTTCGCTCAAGTCTGTATAGGGTGAGCTCGATTAGCACACAGCTAGGTGGAAACACAAAGAGTCAAAATTACACACCAATCAGAAGCTTCAATAGATAGATAAAAGGACCAGAGTCAGTTCATTCAGTTTAGGAACAATGGATCCATAGAAATCTGAAGGAAGACATAGAGGACACCAGAGAGGAGAATGAGGAAGATGAGGAGTAGGAGGAAGAGCAGTAAGGAGAGGAGTAAGAGGTGAAGGAAGTGGGAGTAAGATGAGGAGTAAGAGGAGGGCGGAGGAGGAGTAGAGAGGAGGAGTTGGAGGAGAAGGTGGAGGAGGTAGAGGGAGGAGTAGGGAGGAGGATGAAGGAAATGGAGGAGTAGTAGGGAGAGGAGGAGGACGTGGAGAACAAGAATCTCTGGCCTTTCCCAGACCAAAGATGGGACGCTGGGGCAAAATAATTTGTTGTTTGGTGTGTTGTACTGTACAGCACACTAAGGAAGAAAACATGTGTGCAAATGTTTACATTTGTTTTTTCTTTTGTTGTGTTCATCATGTGAAAAGGTTTTTGAGGGGGAGAACCACAAGCAACATTACTAATAACCAGTTTTTGTATTGTTTCAAATTTATCTCACCAATGTTTAAGACTGTGTTCTAGTGTGTGTTTTTTTGAGGGCTTGTGTGTCATATCAGAGGACAAAGTTTGGTTTTACAGCCAGATTGAATGGGTTTGACCTGAAAATAGGATGTTTGGGGAATTGGGTGAGAAGTTGTGGATTTGTGTTTAGAGTTTCGATAAAAAGAGGCATAATTTCAAAAAACGTGTTTGAGCAATCGAGAAAAACTGTAATCCAGTGATAAAGAGATTTATTTGCGCTTCTTTTACTTCATGATGTATTAATCATTTTCAGCAGCGATTTGTATGCCTATCTATTTTAAGCTTCTAAGACAATAACAGAATAAACTGTGGTGGTAACTAAAAGCACAAATCACACTACAAGTCAAGTGTTGTTTGGTGGACGTGATTTTCAGTCAAACTTAGGTCTGCAGTAACTTCTTTCTTCGGACACTTGGCAGCAGTGAAAAAAAGCTGTGAACACACTGACAAATTTAAATTTAAATTTAAAATTTAAACATGGATCTACAGCTAGCAGCTGGTTAGCTTAGCTTAGCATAAAGACTGGAAGCAGGGGGAAACAACTAGCCTGGCTCTGTTAGAAGGTTAAAAATCCTCCTGCCAGAACCTAATTAACATGTTGCATCTCCTAAATATTTCTTGGATAGGTCTAACATCATCCAGGAGTCTCAGGGCCAAGAAATAGTCCAGCACAAAACACCTGCTCACAGGTTGCGAGTGAATTGGCTGTTTGCTGTAGCTTCATATTTAACAGACAGAGATGTTTTATCAATCATCTGTTCTAACTCTATTTCCTAAAATGTTGAGCATTTGTTTTTAAGACATAAGCTCAGTGGTTAACACTATCATCACTTAAATATCCGCCTTGAACCTTCCTGTACAAAATCTGCAAGTTTCTTCACAATGTTCGCCTCTGTTTTCTCTGGACGTTCCAGTGTACTTTTGCAGTGTGCAGCCCAGATGGGCTGGAGATTATTTAATAAGTTAACCATAGGTGTAAATGTTTGTGTGTTAGTTTGTCTATCCTTCCCCCATATTCAGTTCATGGTGAGTGGGTTTCACTCTCCAGTGAACCTTAACTTGGATTAAATGTTGAAGATGTGTAAGTTTCTTACCCAGCAAGGAAAACATTTATATTTTGCCAAATTGTCTCTTGATATAGTTTGAGTGTTCTGTTGATATAGAGTACGGTTGTGTGGTGGCTAAGAATTAATTACAGAGATAGAAATAGGACAACTCCGACTTGTCAGAATTAACTATAAAACTACATGAATTATACATTTATTTTGTTTAATAAAGAACAGTGGCTCCATCTACAGGAACATTAAGGTTATTTTTACTGAAGTCAGTTAAATCCAAGCTAACAGGTCTGTTTTGTTAGGTTTAATGTTACTGCTTGAAAGAAAACAATATGTGAAGATGTAATTCATTAAAAACATAGAGAAGTAGCAACAAACATAGGTTGTAGTTTAGATAATTATGTAGCCTACACTGTGTAGATAACTCCAGGCTCATGTACTGTCATGAGTAATTTAACTTGATCATCATCCCTGCATCACCAAATGCTTAAAAAAAAATTCAAATTTTGAAATATTCCCAAATTTCTGCACTTGAATTTTTTTGCACAAATGGAGCTTATACCGTGATACTATGTTTATTTGTACTGTTGATACTGTCTTCAGACACTAAATAAGCCCAATTTAACAGCATTAATTTAAATGTTGGAAAGTCTTCTCTCTCTTTTTGCGATTCACATAAAAAAGAAAATTTTCAATCTTTAGGTTATTTAGTGAATGCAGAAATATAACAGATTTGAAAGTTACAGTAAAACAAATCTCACAGACAAAACACAACACACATAATTTTTAAGGCATGCTTCAATCTCATCAGTGCATAAAATATTCACAATAATATTAGTAAATTCTACCATCAAAATTAACCACTTATAAATCTTCTGTCCAATTGACTGAATACTGTATAACAGTCATATTTCATGTTCACTAGGTGGTAAATGTGTTCATTTGTCAGTCAAAATATGATATTCACAGTTGGATGATGAGCCCCAGTCTGGTCAATTGAATAAAAAGAAAAATGTAAAAAAGTTAATTATCAATAATAAGTATTTGATATATATGACCTGATTAATGGAAAGTTATGAAAAGAGATCCAAAAGAACCACTGAGGGCAAGATCAAATAAAACATATGAAGAATGATTAGACAGATTTTTCTGAATGAAAAAAAATTAATGACAACTGGTGCTGAGAGTCTCCCCCGAGGTCAAACGGTTTGGTCCATTGTTTCACCTGACTTGTCTGTGCAGGGTTACTCCTGCCAGGCTGCCAGGTTCAGGCTTCGGATGGTATTGCAGAGGATGAGCGGGTTTCTTTTTGAGACAATGTTGAAAGGGTCCCGGGGGACAGACGTGATATCGGTGTTGTCACAGATGATCCTGGTTAAGGTGGCAGTGGACAGAGCAGCTCTCTGTCTCAGGGTGAAGACACCTGGTTTCTCGTACCACAGCCTGATAATTTCAAACAAGAGGAGCAGGGAAAGAGATCAGCAGGCACCATAATTGCAATGTATTTATTTTTGAGATTGTGTTATCAGTCTGTAGCTGGCATTTTATATAAATTAATAAGATAATTGACTATCAGACCAAAAAAAAAACCTTAACTTTTACAATATAAGATTTGTCAGAAGGGGAAGACAGCAACAAGCTGTGGCTGAACGCAGTAAACCAATGCTAGAAAGAAAGTATCAAAACCCTCTGGCTAGTGTGGACCATAACCCAGCCATGTTGTTTCTAACAATTTGCAGCAGGTTGCCGAGATGACAGAGAATACATCATTTGCTGTCATTCAGAGAGAAATTTAACTAAAGCTAAGTTAAATAATTTAAGATGTATTGCAGACCGTCACAGTTGTAGCTGCTTGCAATCATTTAGATATTTAGCTGAAGTAGTGCAGTGTAATAGTCACTGCAGTAAAGTGATAAAACAAAGACTAATTAACTATGAAAATTCACTTAAGTAAGTAAACTCTCCATGTGAGTCTAAATCTGAATTTTAAAAATGCATTTAAATAAAGAATATAAGTTACCTTTATTACTTTATCTATTCAAAACAAAAACATGTTTTTAATGTAATGTTCATAAGCATTTAAATTGTGAAAATATCTGACTTTTGCATCCCTCAGTGGTGACTGATATGACCGCACCTATTTTCATTACATCTTTCCTTTACATTACAAAATCTGACACCTACATTACTATACACACATAGTATTTACACACATACTGACCTGTCACCCTGGCGGACACTCTGGAACTGTTTTGCGATGAGGCAGGCAAACAGAGGCCCTACACGGCCGCCAGGGACCAACGGCTCTGCCACGCCTCCCAGCCAGATGTCGATGTTGTCGGGGGTACCGTAGAGCTGCAGCAGCCTTTGTGCCAGATCGTTGTTGTTTAGGACCTGAGCAAGCTCTGCCAGGTTCTTGGGCTGAGACAGGCCGCAAAACCCACGCCAGGTGTTGTAACCTACAGGAGAAAACAAGGAAGCATGAGGAAAATTAAGAAAGAGATGAAACATTAGAAGGGATATTTAAAAGAATGAAGATCAGAATGAGGGGTGTACCAGGCAGGCCGTGGTCACGTCCCCTCTGCATGTTGAGAGAGCCCAGGTCCAAAGCCAGTTTCCGCACAAACTGAAACAACCTCTCCCTCAGTGCATCCACCATGACGGGATTTTGAACATTCAGTTTAGCTGGACGGTTGATCACTCCACGGATCAGAGGGTCAATGCCACCTGGAGAGGTAAAATAAAAATTAGGGTGACAGTTTAAGACAGAGTTACTGTGAAGCTCCTACACTTCTCTCTCTACAGCTCACCCTCAAAGACGACTCTCCAGGGGGTTAAGAAGGCTGTGAACAAAGGGACACTGGGGAACTGAGAGTGCTCCTTGTAGTCTGCATCCAGGCGGGGAATGAATGGCTGGATGGTTAAGTGGGCAAAGCGGAAAGCTGCTGTTGCAAAGACGTTAGCGATGCTGGGGTCAACGTTGGGATCGTAACCAGGATAAGGGCCAAGCTGTGCACGTACCACGTCGGCACCCAAAATGTGTGGCAGATAGTCCCTGAACACAAACACCTGAGAGAGACAGGGAGATTTACATTCAGTAAATTCAGACAGTGGAGTATATGGCACTTGCTTTGGAGATGTAAATACAGAATTATGAATGCTGACTCTCAGGTTTAGCTACCTGTGTGTAAGCACCCATGATCTTGCGGGCCTCTTGGTAGAGGGTCTCGCCGTCCCACTGAGGGTTTAGTTTCTTCAGTTGACGAGCCAGGCGGTTATGCTCACGCAGGAACAGTGTGTGAATGGATGTCAGAGCGATGTTTTCGTCCGCACGAGAGTCACCTTAAAGGCAGAAATGTAGACATTAAACAGTTAATCAGAGATGTACCAGGTCACTTCCTAATATAATATTAATGCTATGTAGCTCAGTAATTAGTAAATCATCAAAAAGGGTCCTCCTTTTTTCCCTTTTTAACAAGTCATCAAGATAATTTGTAACACTTTACTATTTACCTCTCTATTTAGCATTTATAAGTGGAATTTAAACATTTAATAAATGGTTGATAACACAGTGTAATGTAGTTGAATAAGGGCATTTCAAGCGTTTATCAATAACAATTATAACTTTTCATACGAAGACCTATTATTATTTGTGTTAAGACCTATTAAGACCTAGAGTTTTTTCTGTTAACAGACCAGCATCCACCAGCAAGTGCGTAACTCTGAAAATGTCCATATAGCTGCTTACAACTAGTGTGTTATCAGAGTTTCAGTGGTTTAAAAATTGAAATTTAACTTAAGACCTTTTAAGTCCATTATAAGTGCAATATAAAAGCTCTGTCACATCCATACAGGCAAGTAAGGATATACACTTGAAGATTTTAGCGATGTCAGACTTAGGGAACATGGTTTGAAACAGCTCACTTAAGTCTTCATTGCTTTAATAGGACAGATGTTTAGCTAGCACTAGCTAGGTGTGCATTAACAAATTCTGACTGGGCTGGAAAGTTTGCATTAATGGTTAATGGTTTCATGTTGGTTTTGTTTTGTAGTTGTTAGAGTTTGATCAATACCTTAGCTTCATAATCCAATCAAAAGACATGCCAAAAAGGTATTGAAGACATATTAAGGCTTAAAATTGAGATTGTTAGATTTTACACTTTTTAAGGACCTATAGGCTATGTAAACCCTGGTTATGAACCATTTATGAAGTGTTCATGTATTGCTTATAAATGATAAATATGGAAAAAATTGTTACAAGGTTATAATGTGTTTCCAGATATTGTAAGGATACAGCAGGTTAGAGGCTAGAGCAAACTCTTATTCCTTATTTACATAGCCTTTATAAAAGATAAATTAATTATTTATAAAGGCTTACAAGATCACTAACCTGCAATGAAACAGGGCACCTCTTTGGCGTTCGAGTCGTTGGTGATTTTACCACGATTGGCACAACTGTTCACATTGAGAGGGTTGAAGGGCAGCAGCTCACGGCCGTTGTCAGTAAACTCTGTATTGACGCGCAGCAGGCCGCTATCAGTATTGAGGTCGCGAAGAAACTGGGCAAGCTTGTCCTCAGAGCCGTACACCTGGCTGAGATCCAAGAAGGCTGTCAGGGAGTTGATATTCTCTCTTACGTTGGGCTTTCCGCCAAAATTGTAGGCCGAGTAGCCTGTTCCACAAGCGGGGGCGGATCTGGACGCAGGGATGCAGCCTTTTGGGTTTGATTTCAAGAAGGGGTCGCCGGGAGGAATCTGTTTGTAAGAAAGAAAGGCTAAAGGTTACAGAGAAAATCTTTAAAAAAAAAAAACATCTCAGTGTTTGGGTTTGACACCAACCGGGATGGGAATGCAGGGATCTGAATTCTCACAGCTCTCGCCACAGTTCAACCCGTTGCTGAAGGAGCGGATGCTGGGAGAGGAGGGCGTGAGGGTAAAGTCGTGGTCATTAAACTGCCCAAAGAAGGTCAACATGAGAGAGTATTCTGTGTCGTTGATCACACCTCTATCCGTTGTGTTTAGGATGTTGTTGGAAACCTGTCGCACCTGAAAGTGGAGGATAATTGTATAGTTTGAATTTGAAATCAGCATTTATGTATAGGCTATTAATCAAAGCGAGGGTCTGGGATTTCAAAGTTCGTACCAGTGGCAGCAAGAAGTTGTTGATTCTTTGGTTTCTGAAGCCTTTCGGTTCAGAGATGCCATCGTCATATTCGGCAGGAAGCCAACGGGTGAATGGGGTGTTGGAGGCACCGAGGCGAGGGTTATTTCTAAAAGCAAACAAGACACGTCCATGTTTGGAAATGGTGCTTGAGAATTTTGAAGTGTAGACTAGGCTACACATCTTATGCTGTGTTAAAGCCTATGATGTTTGTGTTTAGTTCACAAGCTTTTCCTCTCAGTGTAAACACCACTCAATCTCACAGACCCTGTTTCCATCAAGTCAACTAATTATTTTCACCCCACAAATATGTGGAATGCAAGAAGTCAAAATATTTAACAAAATATAATAATGTACGTAATGTGTAATGTAAGTATGATTTTGTGATGATATTATTTGCCTGGCTATTACATTTTTGGAGAAAGGGACTTCAGTTTGAGGTATCTTAAAATGAATTGCATGTAAAAGTATATCTATTTTTCCGTGCCCTAGATGGTGTACAGAAGTCAACAACAACAAAAAAACCCCATTAAATTTGTATTTATAACAATATCTTGAATGTTTCACTTACAGGTTGTTGCAGACGCTGGTGATTGTGCGATACTTGTTAAGGTTTGGTGTGGTGCTGCATTGTGGAGGTCTGAGTCGAGCAGCACATCCAGTTATAGCGGCAAGTGTTTGCAGGTCCACATCAGAGAGCAAATCTGAAAAAATGTGAAAGACACATTTCATGGAGTAAGATCGTTGTGCATGTCTATCAACTTTACTGTTTGTCTAGTTTTAAATTAAGTGCTTCACTATGCCCACATTATGACACAGTAAACCTCAGATTAGGAAAAGTTGTTACAAATACATTGTGTGTAGGCTGTGTAAGGCCTAACCTGTTGTCTTTTTGTTTCTGTCCAGTTTTTATGCTGTTTTGCTTTTAACTTTTAATAGTTATCTTAAGTTGTTATTGTGTTTTTGTGCTGATTTTGTCTTTTTTACTTTATAAAGTGCCTTTGAGTTCTTTTTAAAATGCTATATAAAAAAATATATTACTATAAATATTTTTATAACTATCTATAAGTGCTGTCTCTGATTGGGTGCTGCAGGTCAAACCTGTTGCGTTGAGTGAGCGTTTGTGCACACGATGAACCCTCTCTTGCAGCAGACGGAGCGTTTGTGCCATGTAGTCTGCAGATCTCACAGCTGAGCGTGTGTCACCGCGAGGCTGCTTCAGGAGACGAAGAGCATCATGAGGACTCACCACCTCCTTGCGGACTCGTTTCAGACTCCTGGAAAAGAAGAAGTCACACAGTGGAAGAATAAATTGGTTAGGTTCTGTAACTTCTTCTTGTAATTACCGAGACAGAGTTGCTGTAATGAAATAAAGAAATTGCTTTTCAACAAACATGTGTGCTGAATTAATTTGAAAGATAATCTATTATTTTACGAAATAAAAGATGAACTCACTCTTCTCTGGAGTACTTGTAGGCATCATCCACTATTTTCTTTGCCTCCTGAAAGCAGCTTTGAAGGAGAGGACTGCCGAGATATTCTCCTGCAAAGAAACAACACATTTATTAAATTGTTCACCAAATGGGACAAAATTTATTTTAAACTTAACCAGTGATGTGACACAAATTCAGGCGCAAAAGAAAAAGTCAGAAATGTGTCCACTATGTGAGGGATGTAGCCTACCTGCTGGTTTAGAGTGAGCAGGCACCAGGCAGACACCCAACACAAGAAGGACAGAGAGAAGCATCTCTAAAACACAAACAAAATTTCAGTATAAAAAACAAGTTAATTATATTTGTCGTGAAAAATATAAGCATCCAACAAAAAAAACAGAATTTGTTACCTGTATCTTTGAAGATACCCAGGAAGACTTCAGATGCTCTTGGAGATGTGGAGTTAGCGATGTTGTGTCTAACATCATAACCTTTATATGCTTTATACTCTGAGGCCCCACCCCAAGGGAATGTCCAGGTGACTTTCAGATTAAAGCAGTTCCTTCTTCCTTCTATTTCCGCTAAATGAAATGTTGGATTCTGATGTATTGTTTGTGTGTTATTATTCTATGTTACATGATAAGTAGCACAACAGGCAGCAGATAGAAGTGATAGTGCTTCTAAGAATTTGCAGTTGCCGTCTTATATAACTATTGGAATAAACTATTTTCTCCTCGTTAGAATTAATTAATTAATATCAATGTGTTTAAGCAGCATTTCAATGTAAATTTAGAAATCATTTAGTTGTTGTTTTCTTTTGACATTCTTCTCCAAGCCTGATCTTTGTGTAAATTATACACACTGTCCTTTTTCATGGCATTATCTGACCTAACAGGATCCAGTCTTTCCTCATTGAAGAAATAGCCATGATTTATGTAAGACTTTTTGGGGTTTATTTCTACTTTGCTGAAAGTTGCCAGTGTGGAGTTGGATGAACAGTTTTATTGTGTTTTTGATGATGATGCTGTGATGTTGTGGCTGATGGCTTACAGTGTTACCACACATAAACGGATGAACTTGAGAATGTCTTTGAAAAGAGGAAGGAATTCAAACTTCTTCCTAATGAAGAGGAATCAAAACATTATTGCAAAAATTAAAAAGAAAGACTTATCCATCTTTAACCTTTGATTTAAAGGTAAAATTACATATCACATTTTTGGATCTTTTGGGTTGTTGAGATTAAGAGCTCATATGAGTGCCTTATTATTATTGCCTGATTATTGATTATTAACTTGTGTTAACCACAGAACAACACAGGTACACAATTACTTATGTGTCTGTGTTGTTTTTCTAAGACATAGTTGTACAATGAGGAAAAGGTTAAATGGTTAGCCAGAAATACATATGTCAACCTTGAAACAATGTGTGTGTTTGGGCGTGGAGTAATTGGCAGCTTTATCGACAATGGTATTTTACTGGTTGTTGTGTAAAACAAGGAACAGAGATATGAGAGAAGTCCATTGGCCCATGAAAAGCTGATACAGTGAATGAGATGCTTAAGAGAGTATTACATGTTCTACATCGTCATGTACTATTTAGGATCAAAACACAATAGAAGATTTAAAAAATTGTAAATGTCCATGAAAAAACCATAGCATTACATATCTAACGACAGATAACCGTGAACTTTAGACACTAACACACAGCTCAGTCTACAGGATCCTGTTGGACGTTGGATTTAATTATTCAAAATAGTAGTAAACAAAATCAGTTCTGCAGAAAAGATCCATCTCAAAAACATTAGACATACTTGACAATTAAAAAGGAAATATATACTTTCTCGTTTGATAGACAACGTGTTTGGGTTTGTGTCTCTACAGCGACTGTGAAAATGATTGAGGTTAGCAAATATGACAGTAGAGACGTTTTTCAGTTTCACTATATGAATACATAATACTTGTTTTTGTCTGGCAACTCTTCAACTCTCTCCATGTTTACAAAAGCATTAAGAATTAGCTGTGTCTTTTTGTGCCATTAATTGCATACAGCATTCAACATATTATTTTGTAAGGTCAACAACTGTGTCATTTTAGTTTTGTAAACTTAGAGTTAGAGGAACATGAGGTCACATCTTTTGTTCAGGTAAATTTCCCTTTTTACACAAAAACAAAAATCAGCTAAGAGAACTAAAAGTCTAATCAGGAGACATACTGTATGTACAGCATTCACACTCTAAAATGTATCTCAACTTAAACTTCCCCTAGTCAATCTTCGCCAGTGTGGTCCTGGTTACTCTATGTTCTTTCTGTCATCCTATTAGTGACTAAGCCAAGTTCTGATCTGAAATTAGAGTGTTCTGTACAAAACGTTACTACTCATAGCCACCACCCTATAGTATACTATTCTCAGTGATGGAGCAGATTCTCCAGTCTGCTTATCCACATTTTTTATACCTAAAATGCAACTTTATTTGCTAACCGTCGTAATGAGGTTACCTTTTCACTTCCTCATCTTCTTTCCGAAATATATTCAAACATAACAGACACACAGAAACAGTCAGATTTGATCGCAAATCCGGAGCCAGGAGGAAGCAGCGATGCAAAGAAAAATTCCTGACTTTGACTGAGACAAGGAATTGAATGAGGAACAAAAAAGTTACCATGAAATCCCGCCTATTATTTCCACATGACTATTGTTATGCCAGATACTTAGATCACAGTATATGATAACATTATTATTAGCACCTTTCAGCACCTCTTAAGTCTGTATTTACTTCCTCAAAGCAATTCCAATAGGCACGCTCACCCGAGAACTGCTGCAGTGTTGAAATACTTAAATGATACACACGATTTCCGATAAACTAAGTAAAAATAGTGCAGTCGGTAAAAGTGATACACCCCTCACATTTGTGTAAACATTTTATTAATCTTTTCATGTGTCAACATTGAAGAAATGACACTTTTGTTAAGTGTAAAGTGTATATGGAGGACGGATTCTGACATAAAGGGAAATAAATGTATAAATAAATAAATGCTCAATAAATAATTAAGCATCTGATTAAATGCACAAAAAATACAGTAAAAAAATAAATAAAATATATAAATGTAGTGATTAAACTATACAATGAGACATAAATATATAGAAATATATATCTCTTTTAAATAGCTTTTTTAAAATGGTAAGGTAATTATTACAAATAATAAATACAGAAGCTAATTTAAAGAGATTTGTACAATTTAATTACTGCCTGCATTTATTTTTACTGTATTTTTTGTGCATTTAATCAGATGTTTATTTATTTATTGAGCATTTATTTATTTCTGTATTTGTTTTTAAATCTGTTAGAATCCGTCCTTGATAAGTGTACAGCTTGTTTACAACAGTGTAAATTTGCTGTCCCCTCAAAATAATACATCCCACAGGCATTAATGTCTAAACCGCTGGCAACAAAAGTGAGTACACCCCTAAGTGAAAATATCCAAATTGGACCCAATTAGCCATTTTCCCTCCCCGGTGTCATATGACTCGTTAGTGTAACAAGGTCTGAGGTGTGAATGGAACGCAGGTTTGTTAAATTTAGGCCCCATCCACACTACTGCGTTTTCAAAATAAAACTGAGACCTTTTGCTATGTTTGCACCTCCCATCCAGACTAAAACGATGAAAACGAAGACCTAAAACGGAGAAGTTTGGAAACGCTGCCGACCCCGTTTTGTGTTTCAAAACTCCGGAGGGTGTTTTAGTGAAGATGGGCCAAAACGGAGGACTTTAGAAACGATGAAGCAGCAGCTCACGCTCGGCTCTCTGATTGTGTCTTGCAAAGCAGAAACACGATGCTACTGACCGGGTTTTTGACATCATATTTTTATTAAAATATTATGTACCGTACCAATAACATTTATCTGCCTACACTTGTACTGTGCATATAGCCGTTTCCTTTGCAACGACTCCCAGTCTGTTTTCCGCCGCCAAACTCCCGTGTTACATTCAGTCCCAGTTTGTTCTGGTCTGATGCTTTGTCTGTATTTATTTTTCTAAATAAATGATAGACAACGCTGGAGATCGTATTTGTTTTATTTCTCCGTTTGTAAACTAAAACGGAGTATTGTGGATGGTGCCTTAATCTTATTGCTCTCACACTCCCTCATACTGGTCAATGGAACTTCAACATGGCACCTCGATGTCAAAGAACTCTCTGAGGACCTGAAGAAAAGAATGGTTGCTCTACATAAAGATGGCCTAGGCTATAAGAAGATGCCAAAACCCTGACACTGAGCTGCAGCACAGTGGCCAAGACCATACAGCGGTTCAGCAGGACAGGTTCCACTCAGAACAGGCCTCGCCATGGTCGACCAAAGAAGTTGAGTGCACATGCTGTCTGTGGGAAATAGACTTGAGTGCTGCTGGCATTGAAGCAGAGGTTGAAGGGGTGGAGGGTCAGCCTGTCAGTGCTCAGACCATACACCGCACTCTGCATCAAATTGGTCGTCCCAGAAGGAAGGCTCTTCTATGATGCACAAGAAAGCCCACAAGCAGTTTGCTGAAGACAAGCAGACTAAGCATATGGATTACTGAAACCATGACTTGTGGTCTGATGAGACCACGATAAACATGTTTGGTTCAGATGGTGTCAAGCGTGTGTGGCGGCAACCAGGTAAGGAGTACAAAGACAAGTGTCTTGCCTACATTCAAGCATGGAGGTGGGAGTGTCATGGTCTGGGGCTGCATGTGTGCTGGGGAGCTACAGTTCATTGAGGGAACCATAAACCTGTGACATACTGAAACAGAGCACAATCCCCTCCCTTTGGAGACTGAGCCGCTGGGTAGTATTCCAATATGATAACGACCCCAAACACACCTCCAGGACAACCACTGCCTTGCTAAAGAAGCTGAGGGTGATGGACTGGCCAAGCATGTCTCCAGACCTAAACCCTATTGAGCATCTATGGGGCATCCTCAAACGGAAGGTACCCCACCTGCAAGGTCTCTAACATCCATCAGATCCGTGATGTCATTATGGAGGAGTGGAAGAGGACTCCAGTGAACTCAATGCCCAAGAGGTTTAAGGCAGTGCTGGAAAATAATGGTGGCCAGACAAAATATTGACACTTTGGACCCAACTTGGACGTTTTTACTCACTTTTGTTGCCAGTGGTTTAGACATCAAAGGCTATGTGATGCAAATTTACAAGCTGTACACTCACTACTTTACATTGTAGCAGTTTCATTTCTTTAATGTTATATATATGATATAATCAAATATTTATATATATGTATATATTTATATAAAGGTAAAAAAACGACGGCCTCCTGGCTCTGGCTAAATCTACATCTGTCCACTGCAGTGGCACTATCTACAACCTGGAGTAAATTAGTGTATTAATATAATATTATAACATTCAATAAAAAGTCTAATGTTAATGTTAATATTATTCTATGTAGCTTATCACTAGTATAATAGTAATTCCAGTTACATCAATTTCTGTGGGTTGTTTTCAT